AATCGGACCGTCTTGTGGTTGTTCAGATTTTAATACATAATACTTTAATATATATATATATATATATAGTTCTTTTTGTAATAAATTTAAATAAAAAGTGTTACTTAAATATCTAAACAATTTATAAATTCAAATGTTTAAACTAATTGATAAACAATTTATAAATCTCTATTTTATTTAAATATGTAATTTTATTTAAAATAATTTTTCATGTAACAAAATTTGTTTAGAAAATCGTATCGATCTTACCAGTCCAACATACTAGTGTTGGCGGATTCGATAGTAAATATTTTATTCAAGCGCACTAAATCGGTTCTCGGTCCATGTGGTCGGACTGTGTCCAACCCAGTTTAATTTATAAATAATGGGTAAATCATGATTAATGTTATTTATTTATTTAATTTATAATAATACAATCAAAATATTATTTTTCCGTGCATCGCACGGGCCACGTACTAGTACATTTAAACATGTTGTTTGGACAAAGTTCTTACTTATTCTACAGATTTGAATTCATACATTTTTTCAAAAATAATATAGAATATTTTTTATATTTTTACATATGTTATACTATATTTCCGTTTGCATTAACCTGATTTGTATTTGTTAAATTGATAAATATGCATCAACGTGTATTTTGTAAAAAATCCTTTTTTGTTAAACAAGCTAAATTAAAATTTCACAGTTCAAGTTTGCATCAACGTATATAAAATAAGAACAGACTTATATAAAATATAATAAGCATTTTTCGCCATTATGTATTAATTACATCCTAATTAGAGTAATTTTACACAATTCTTTAAAACAAATCTCGAAGCATTTATTTTAACCTGTTTTAAATTCCCATAACAACCGCATTTATTATTAAAACAGAATTGTAATTAATTCCTATTTTCGTAATTAAACACTAATTAAAAAATACTCTATAATATTTGATTAAGTACTAAATCCGGCCGTTTGGAATGAATTCTATTTTATTAAAATCAATATTATTATGGAATCAAATATTGTGGAGTATACCGATCAAAAAAATAAAAAATATTATGGATTATTTTTTAAAAGCAGTATTATTATGGAATTAAATAATGTAACCACGATTCAATCTTTTTAATTCAATCTATATCTCTTTTTAGATTTATCAATTCATTTTAATATAATATAAATCTGCCGTGAAAAAAAAAAAAATATAGTAGGACTTTACAATAATCATGGTATCAATATTAATAATATAAATGCTAAATAAAATTCAATATTAATAAATGCTACATAAAATTTAATTATTTGGACACTACACTTTTTTATATAGATATAAATAAATTGCATATTTGAACTTTAAATTTTTTTATTTTTTTCACATATAATTGTGTAATATATAAAACTTAAAAAAATATTGTAAAGATTTCATTTTAATGTATCGATTACATTCAAAGATATTCAAATAATAGAGTCAAACTGGCCATAACAAAGAATCAAAATTTAATCAAATTGGTCATAAAACGAGACTAAAATCTATCTATATAAAATAAGAATAAAGTTAAATCATTTTTAGAAATTATTTCTCGCCAAAAGCATTAATTACTTACTATAAATGGTAATTATTTAATTTTTAAAATAAAGAAGCACTAATTGCATTCATTATAGTCGCATAAATCTCGCGCTTTTCCATTTGCATTTGCGTTAGTCAATTGTCAATTCCTTTATTTACTTTTATAGTTGTTTTGTGTAGGATTCTCGTTTATTTTATCAGAGTTATCAGAAGCAGCGAATTAGCATTTATTTTATATTCACAAAATCAAATTTTATCAGAAAAAAAAATTATTAGAAAGTAACATTTGCATAATTTCCCGTATCTCTTATATCATCTTCTATAATTTTATCCGTTGAGGTAATGTCTAAATACTAATATTTTCTTATGCATACAATATTTTAAATACATTCAAACATATTTTTTGGACAAATTTATTGCTTATTCTATAGATTTGACTTCATACATTTGTTTTAAAAAATAATATAGATTTTTTTTATAATTTTACATATGTTATATAATATTGCAGTTTGCATTAAAAATTGATAAGTGCATCAACGTGTATTTTGTACAAAATCTTTTTTTGTTAAACAACTAAATTAAAATTTTCACTGTTCAAGTTTCCATAATTCTCAATATTATCTCAATATTATTTATCATCTCAATATTATTCTATATCTACATAAACCTTCTGGATAATGTCTTTTTACTAATATTTTGCTAGACTATTGATTCTATAATTATATATATCTATATATATAAATGTTTAATTTATAGGTCGTAATACATATCATAAGTTGTAATATATGATATATATATTTATAAATGTTAAATTTTTAGGTGTAATACATATTATGCACGCCTATAATATTTTATATGTATATATATATAGAGAGAGAGAAGAGATCATATGAGAATGACTCTTAATGCGAGAAATAAGAATAGACCTGCACCATGGGATCAATCATATTAATGGTTAAGATCAAGTCAAAATATGGTCAATCATTAATGGCAATCTGGTAATTATTTGATCATAGTGTGGTCAAATATGTGTATATGATCAATAATTAAGGATAAATTGATCAATACACATTTATTATGTGGGACCACTCACCAATTAAATATTTACTTTATTTTCATCACT